GGTTCCCAGTGGCTGCGGAGATGGGCGTAGGGGCCAGGGTGGGCGCTGGAAGTTTCTGCCGAGGGGGACAGAGATTGGAAGCAGGTTGTGATGTTGAGGACGCTGCCTGCTAAGCGTAGGCAGCCCCGGGTGTTGTACACTTGGGATGGCAGGTCCTGTGTCCCCGTGAGTGTGACGTGTGTAAATCCTGTGGCAGTAGAGCCCTGCCTCCCTGCGTCACAGAACTGGGCTCCCTCCCCAGGGCTTGCAGGGGCTGACTTTCCAGCAGTGGGTTGCCAGCCCGCCCTTCCTAGGTGCCCCGGCAGCGTGATCCTCCAGCCTTCGGCCTGCGGCCAGCAGAGCTCCACCCTCCAGTGCAGGGGCTGAGGCCCCATCGGGGAGCCCCCAGAAGCCAGGCCTGAGAGGGCTGCCCACAGTCATTGTGTCTGCCACCACGCGTCACAGCGATTCTCTGCATGCACAGGTCACTGGCTTTAGTGGCATCCCTCCAGCTGTGTCCCCCCCCCTTCCCTCTCCTGACTGGCGTACTTGTGCATATGCATACACACACGCTTAGCCTCCAGCCCCTGAGTCCGTCTGGCTTCATGCTGGTGAGAAGGCAGCAGGAGGGTGACTGTCGTTACTCAGAGCTGAACTTGCCGCCCAGTTTAAAGCGGCTGCTTCAAGGGTGGTTCCCATTCAAAGCCTGCAGTGTAGCCTCGAGGGCCCTTCCAGCCCCTGCAGGCCCCACAAGTCTGGATTCTCTAAGAATGTGAGATGCTATAGCAGTTTCCCACCTTTTGATCCGCACCTGAGCCGACCGTTAGGTTGGGGTGCTGATGGGGTCACACGCTCTGTGTCAGCCACCGCAGCCCATGCCAGGTCTTCCTGGGGACAAAGTGATGGGACGGGGGCCGAGCATGACCCCAGAAGGACCCCTTGGAACTATATGACGTGGGCCAGCCGGGTCAGCTGTAGATCCCTGGGTAACGCTGGCAGGAAGTGGCCCAGCCCCCAGGTGCTCCACTGGACTTCTTCAAGAAACTTCCATCTGTCTGTCTACAGAGGAAGAACCCTACATGGCTTAGAAAGGCCTGGTGGTGGATTTTGACCCTGGGCATCAGCTGTAGTACCAGCCTGCCTTTGCCTTTTTTCGTTTTTTCCTAACGTCGAGAAACGTGCACTCAGTGGTTATTTGCCAATTCGAACACCTCCTAGGTGCGTTCAGTGCTGTCGTGGACGTCCCTGCTGCAGCAGGTCAGAGGCGCCTGGGCGGCGCTGTGGTTACGCCTGGGCTGCTTTGCAGAAGGTCAGCATTTCTCAGCCACCAAGCGCTCGGTGGTGGAAGAGCCACAGTCGGGCGCGCACACAGGCAGTTCCACCCTGTCCTGTGGGGTCGCTGCGGGTGGCACGGTGTGGTGTGGGGAACTGTTCCGAGAGAGGGCGACACTCTTCAGGTCCGACCCCCTCCTGCCCAGGCTGTTGTCGCTCCTGATCACCGGTGGTTTTCACTGTCACCCTCCTGCGCCTCGCCCTGCTGGGAACCACGCTCCTTCCGTCCCCCTGGACACACACGGGTCACTGGGGCCTGAGTGCAGACAGGACTGGCTGTGTCCTTATCTTGGCAGGACTGGGGGGAGGGGCCCGGTGCTCAGCAGCTCCCCTCCCCCTCCCAGGGTCAGAAGGCCTCAAGACGCTCCGCATCTTGTACGAGGAAGTGGATGAGGCCGAGGTGGAGGTCATCCACGTCCCTTCCCCTGCCCTGGAAGAGAGGAAGACGGATTCCTATCGCTACCCCAGGACCGGTCAGTGGGCCCCTGGCAGGGTGTGTGTGCCCCTCCTCTTGAAAAAAGCCAGACTGAACCTCAACAGCTCAGCTCTGCCTCGTACCCACCCCCACCCCCACCCCACGACCCCCACCTGGCTCACAGGTGGCCCTCCATCAGGAGACAGGAGGCTTGCACCCTGTGTGGCCCGATCTCACAGAAACCCCAGGTTCATTTTCTGAACGGGGGCTGCCATTGCCGGTGGGAGTGTGCCGCCCTCCAGCGGAGCAGGGTCCAGTGCCCCCACCCCGCCACCAGCTCTCCTCCACTCGCCCCCCTCCTTATGTGTGTGTGTGTGTCTCTGTGTGTGTTGAGCCGTTGAAGCAAGGCCAGGGACTCCCCACACCCCCTGTGGAAGCTAGGCAGCGTGCTACCAGAGAGCAGCAGGGTGACACCCTGGGGCAGGTGCAAGGCCCTGGCACACGCAGGCCACACCTGCCACATGCCCACCCTGCTCACTCGCTTTGCAGGCAGCAAGAACCCCAGGATTGCCCTGAAGCTGGCAGAATTTCAGACGGACGGCCAGGGAAAGGTGAGTGTCCTGGGGGTCAGTCATGGGAAGCAGGCAGGCGCCCCTGGACCATCGTTCACCTCGGTGTGGGAACCACGCAGTGCGGAGCTCAGGCAGGCAGGGCGTGGAGGGCATGGGGTCCCCCAGCACACATGTCCTCGGGCCTCCTCAGGGCAGTGGCCGCCCTCGACCTTTGACCAGTCCTCTTGCCCAGCTTCCAGAGTTGGGGCCTCACAAATGCCCACCCTGGCACTCAGACCTCAGGCCAAGTTCAGGCAGGTCCTCGAAGACCACCCCCACACCCCCCACACAGGGCGCAGACTGCCCAGGGCCCCGTGGACAAGGTGCGCTGCGGGTCATGACCAGTGGTCTTTCCCCGCAGGTCGTCTCTGCCCAGGAGAAGCAGCTGGTGCAGCCCTTCAGCTCGCTCTTCCCCAAGGCCGAGTACATCGCCAGGGCCGGCTGGACGCGGGATGGCACCTAGTGAGTGGCTGCGTGTGGCTCGGGGACACAGGGCCCTCTGTTGGTGCGCACACAGGGACACAGAGACACTGCTGGGTGCACACGAAACCCTGAACTAAACCCCCAGGTGACCCCCCCCCCCCCCGAGTTTCCACAGTTAGCCCTAAGCCACAGCAGTCAGAAGACAGCCATGGGGTAAAGGTCTGGTTGGGGGGGCCTTTGGGGCATTGTGACCACCTCTCCCACGCTGGGTGCAGAAACAGACCTGCCACAGGAAGGCAAGTCTACTCCTTACTGCCTGCTTACCGTCTGCTCTCTGGGCAGGTGGGACGTTGTGTCTCAGCCTTGCCCACGTGGTCCAGGTGCGCGGTCGGGCTCTTTGGACGGATCACTACGCCCCTCCCAGGGCTTTGTGCTTCTCTGCTGGCTTCAGTGGTCCCTTCAGTGGCCACACCAAGCTCTCAGTAAGAAAGGACCACGGAGCCCTGGTGGCTTGTGCGTCAGCCATTCGAACCCAGCAGCTGCTTCTCGGGAGAAAGATGGGGCTTTCCATTTTTAGTCTCGTAAGCCAACAGGGTGCCCGCCCCCTGCCCCCCGCAGAGTGGCCAGGAGTTGAATGGACCCCACGAGCGTGAACTTGAGAAAGACCTGCAGGGCAGAGACCCCCGGGGCTGGCCTGCTCTGCCCTGTGGGGTCGCTGTGAGTCAGAATTGGCTCAAGGGCAGTGAGTTTGGGTTTGGGAGGGAAGTCCCAGATCACAGTTCAGGATCAGGAACTATTGAGAATACAGTTCTTTAGTCAGGACAGCTTTTGAGCTGTGTCCACAAGCAGGCCTCTCCTGGCCTCTTGGGCCCTCCCGGTCTCTCCCCTGCTCAGACAAATGTTACAAAGCTCTTGAACTTCACCCGGAAGAGCTCAGAGGCACCCACTCTGTCAGCAGGCCTCCCCCTGCAGGCGCCCAGCTCTCTGGGGGTCCAGAAGTCCTTCTGCCTTCTCCCGCTTCTCTGCCTCTGCGCCTCACCGCTTACTAGCGTTATGGCTCTCTGGCTCCCAGCTGGGTCAGGAGATCCCAGCACAGGGAACCAGGTCCAGGGGACACACGGTGCTGCTGGGATCCCTGCTTTTCATAAGGTTTTCTGTTGGCTGATTCCTCTGGACAGCCTATTTCTTTGTTATCTGTTCTTAGTGAGAAAGTTCCGCCGAAAACAGTTTGTTTGGGGTGACCCTGCTGGTGTGTTTCGCGTCACGGCAACACGCCAGCCACCACGTGTCTGTCAGTTTGTCGTCTGTAGTGGCTGCTGTGCTGCTGGGAGTTGGGTTCCTGGGATTTCACACGCCAGCACGTTGTCACGCGTGCTTCGACCAGGGAGCCGTGGGCCTTGTTTGTCTATTCCCAGTGGTGTCCTGGGGGCACAGCGGGTAGTGGCGCGCTGCACTGCGCTCCCTTCACGGTCAGCAGTTCGAGTCTGCCAGCCGCTCCCCAGGAAAAAGATGGCACTCAGCTCCTGCCAAGACTCACAACCCGGGAGACTCGCAGGAGCGGCTCCATCCGGGTTTATGTCTTTGGTGGGCCGGAAGCACCTCATTTGCATAGTCCCACCCCATCCTCCCCTGGACGTCACATAGCTGGCTCTTCTTTCCCGCCATCCTGCGGACCGTCCGGCTCACAGGGGCCCACGGGTCTCCACAAACCTGTGGCCGCCCCAGCGACCCTCACGTGCAGCGACCCTGCAGGTCAGAGTACAGCGGGCCCCCGGGTCTCCAAGACTCTGTGTTTACATAACCAAACTTACCAACCCTGCCCGCAAGGTGATTAGCGGCCTACAGGACAGGGTCGAACTGCCCTGTGAGTTTCCGGCACTGTAACTCCTGAGAGAGCCACCAGGCTCATCTCTCTCCCACGGAGCAGCTGGTGAACTCGAACCACTGACCTTGCAGTTAGCAGCCCAACACGTAACCCACTGTGCCGCTGGGCCTCCTGGACCACAGGAGAAGGGCCGCGTTGTCACTCACAGCGCCACGCCTGGAGTAAGTGCAGACAGCCAGCTCTGCCCGTGTGTGGGCAGGTGAGGGAGGTCCGGCAGTGGGCCAAGGGGCTGGGTCAGGCAGGGGCCAGGGAGTGTGAAACTACGCCAGGGCTTCAGAACACCTGGAGGGGCTCTTGGGACCCAGCGCTGCGGAGTAAGGTGACTCCTGATCTGCCCTGCTCGGTACTTGGTCAAGTGTGGGTGGGGTCTGGAAGCCCTGGGTGCCGAGGTGAGGCCGGGACTGGCCCTTTTCCTTCTGGGATCCCAGCTCCCGCACAGGCCCCAGGGGTCAGCGTGGTTACCATTCAGAAATCAGCAGGTGTGGCTGCATGCCAATAAAGCGTTATTTACAAAATCAAGCAGCGGGCCGCGTTCGCTGAGCCCCCATCAGCAAGGCCTGAGTCGGAGGGGCACTAGGGGAGCATCGGGAAATGAGTGACTGCGTGAGGGTCTAGCGGTGCAGAGGGGCGCCCTGGTGGCGCAGTGAGGAAGTGCCTCCTGGCCCCCACGAAGAACACCCCGGGAAGCAGGAGCCCTGGTAGTTAACACCCCGGGAAGGTCAGGAGAAAGGCTTAGCGGCCAGCTTCCCTAAAGATTGGCCACTGGGCAGTCCACTCAGCCACACGGGTCCCCATGCACCAGCCACAGAGCAAGTCGGGAAAGGAAGCCACTGAGCCCACCCCCCACCCCCCTCTACGTCCCCCTGCAGTGCCTGGGCCATGCTCCTGGACCGGGCCCAGCAGCGCCTGCAGCTGGTCCTCCTGCCCCCGGCCCTGTTTGTCCCTGCCACTGAGAACCAGGAGCAGCAGGCAGCCTTCGCCAGGGCCGTCCCCCAGCACGTCCGGCCCTACGTGATCTACGAGGAGATCACCGACGTGTGGATCAACGTAAGGGCGGGAGCAAGGCCACCCAGCACAGCCCCAGTGGCCACGGGCGGGACCAGGCCTGGGTGGAGGAGGAGGAGGGAGGAAGAGGGGCCTCTTCTCAGCTCCCTGCCCTGACGGCCTTCCCTGGCCTGGTGACCCTGGCCCCTAGCACCCTATGGACCCCCCACCCCCACCCCGTAAAGCCTGGCCTGGTGGTCTCGGCCCTGTGTCCTGACAGCCTCCTTGGATAGGGCTGCCTTGGTGGCCCGGCCTTGTCCCCTGACTGCCTCCCTCTCCTCTCGCACAGGTGCACGACATCTTCTACCCGTTCCCCCAGGCCCCGGGCTCGCAGGAGCTCTGCTTCATCCGTGCCAACGAGTGCAAGACGGGCTTCTGCCACCTGTACCGGGTCAGCGTGCGGATGGAGCCACGCAGCTACGACTGGGCCCAGCCCCTGCAGCCTGCGGAAGGTGAGCTGCTGGGGCGGGCAGGGGTCCCTCAGCTGGCATCCTCGTCCTGGCGGGGACAGGCAAGCTGAGGTGACAGTAGGACTCATCGCCAGGCCTTGCTTGGTGGACCTGCCTTGGGTGAGCCGCAGGGGTGGACTGCAGTGCCACCAGGTGTCCTGGGTCTGAGGAGGAAGTTGAGGGCCATGGGCCAATTCTGTCTCCGAGCAGCCCCAGGTGACAAGGTAGAGCAGGCTGAGGACAGGACGTTCTGGGCCTTCTTCTGAGGGAGGTGAGACCCGCCGACCTGGTCCTGAGCAGGGAGCTCACCCCACCGCGCCCCAGGGCGCCCTCTGCACCATCAGACACTCGCTCACTCCCGGTACTTTGAGTAACCCCTCTGACTCAAGCCAGGGGCTCAGCATACTCTGACCAGGGGCCAGATCGGGCCCACTGCTTGGTTTTGTAAATAAAGTTTTACTGGTAGCTGAGAGCTCTCCCAGCTTCCCCGTGGTTATGTGCTGCCTGGTGAAACGCAGAGAAAGGGAAGGGACAGTCCCTACTCTGGGGGGGGTTCCATGAGGGGTGGGGGGTGTCTGGGGAAAGCAGGGGAGAACCAGTGTGAGGACCTTTGAGAAGAAGCGGCCCACCCATCCTCTGGGGACCGAGCAGCCCAGGCAGCACAGCCAAGGCAGGTGGGAGCCCTGGGCGACTCAGGTGCTCCAGCTACCGCAGGAGCGATGGCACTGGTTCCAGCGGTGACCATGGGGTTGTACCAGGTGGAGACGGCGCAGGGGCTGAGTGGGCCCCGGGAAAGCCCGTGCAGTGGCCCTGAGGCAGGCCCAGGAAGGACAGAGGCGGCGTCTGTGGCTGTGAGGGGGTGGAGAGGGTGCAGCGCTGTCATGGGTGGGTGTCCTGGGCACTGGGCGTGTTGAGCAGCACCCCTGGCCCCCTCATCCCCACCCATGACAAGCGTGCTTCCAGATGTGACCCAGTGTCCCTTGGGGGCACAGTCCTGGGTAAGGACCCCTGAGTTAGCGGGAGACCCTGCGTTCCATGATCACCTGATCCCTGCCATCCTGGGGCACTGCCCACATTGACATCCACACCCTGAGTGAGGAGGAGGAAGACCCCAGGGGCTGGAGGGTCCCCCTGGTTCATACCATTTGACCAGCAGGGCTTTATTCTGGGGTACCATGCGAGCAGGGGCCAAACTCAACATTTTCCAAATAATAGTCCCCACTCACGCACCCACCTACCCGCATGCTGACTCTGGCCCACTCCTCGGGGTGGGGGTGGGGGTTGTGCTGTGTGCTTCATGCTGACAGCACCCCCCCACACACAGTTACAGCCAGTAATGTCCCCATGAGGACCCCCAGCCCTCCAGCCTAAGCCAATCTTATGCACCGTGGTGACGGGCCGCGTCTGTCCCAGAACCCCGACACCCCACCCCACCCCCACCCCCGGGCCGGGTCAGGGTGCCTGCCCGAGTAGGAGGGGCAGAGGCTATTCTGAGGGGCAGCAGTGTCAACCCCTCTTCAGTCAACCCCTCCCCTTGGGTTTGTGGGCTGGAAGTCCTCCCGGAGGCCAGCGTTTTTTCTCAGCCGGCTTTAGCCGACATGGGGGATGGGGGTGCCCTCAGCCAGGGTGAGTCCCTGTCCCGAGAAAGCCAGCGAGGCGGCGGCCTGCACCTGCGCCGTGTGAGGACGTCCCGTGGGCTTGCTGAGCACCGTGACAGTGCCATCACCCCGACCACACAGGCTCCCGGAGCTCTGCCGGGCGCACCTGGTGTGGCCAGCACCGGCTTCTAGAATAGGGTTGCTTCTCGGCAACTGCCAGGCCCTCTCCCTCCGCAGTCCTGGGGCTGGTGCCCACCCGGTTGCGCCCCTGTGGGGCCCACTGAGCTGGCCCCTGGAGCCAGCAGGGGACGGGCCCGAGTGCCCTGCCCCCCTGAGCCCCCCTCACCTCCGTTGCTTCCAACCTTCCAGATGAGTTCAAATGTGCCGTCAAGGAGGAGGTTGCCCTGACCAGCGGCGAGTGGGAGGTCTTAGCCCGGCACGGCTCCAAGGTAGGACCACCGGCCCACCACGTGGGCTTCAGGAAGTCGGGGTATGGAGTGGGAAACCCGTCCTCCTCCATTCGATTTCTCCACAGGCCTTTCAGAGCCCCTGTGTGTTCCTCTCTCCCAGGCACCCCTCCTAGCGTGGGCCTGCCTTGCCCTGGTTTCTGCACACCCCTGGGTCTCAATGGGCCCCGGCCTCCACCGAGCCCCCGGCCCTGGTCTCAGAGGGGCTCATGAGTCCCCACTGAGCTCTCAGGTGTCCCACGCCCATCGGAGACCATACTTCCTGTGGCCGACCTGGCCCGCCCAGTACTCCACTGGGACTCACTGGTATTCAGGAAGCGGGTGGGGCTGGCACGGGCTGACCGCACTCTTGGCCACCCTAGGGGCGTGGTGGGCCCCGGCCACCCTCCCCAGTCTGTGTCCTGCTTCCTGCCAGCCTGGTTTTGTCAGTTTTCTCGGTGAGACATGCCTCGGTCCTTGGCCTGGCACGCAAGGGAACTCACGCCGAAGCCTGGTTTGCGATCCAAGTGGGCTTTTGTAAAGGACAAGTTTCAGGTGTTACAGTTAAGAACACGGCACCCTCTGGACTTCGCACACCCACACGTGGCGCCCTGAGTTCAGAGGGAAGACAAGAGACTGGCGCAGCTGTGGGGAAGGCAGAGAAGCGGCGGAAAAGAGAGGGGCCTCGGGGTGTGGCCGCAAGGGACTGGAGGAGCAACAGGGAGAGAGGGGGCGTCTTCTGGTTCCAGCCTTTTTAGAGCCTTTTGCTGGGAGGTGTGGTCGACGGTGTTGGTTGACCCCACTGGCTGATTTAGCCCCCCTAGCCTAGATTGGGGCCCATCCAGGTGTACTGCCTTCCTGGCTCCAGGGCCTGAATTGGCACGGGTCCTTTAGCCTTTATCAGCTTCCAACTTCCTGTAGGGGGACCCCTGGGCATGGAGTGCCCCTATCCGGCTACCTAACAGTTTCAGGGCCACCAAACCCCCAGGAAGCCCAAGCTTTGGGGCCCTCCAGTGGGCTTCCAGGTCCACTCCTGCCAAAGAGCTTGTGGAAACCACCTCCTGGCCCTGCAGGCCAGCCCCCGTGGGTGCCCAGACTGCTGCCCAGCCCTGGGGCAGGGAGAGGGACCCTGCCCTCTGGGCTCACGTCCTGGCGTGCCGTCCCTGCAGATCTGGGTCAACGAGGAGACGAAGCTGGTATACTTCCAGGCCACCAAGGACACGCCGCTGGAGCACCACCTCTACGTGGTCAGCTACGCGGCTGCTGGCGAGATTGTGCGCCTCACCACACCCGGCTTCTCCCACAGCTGCTCCATGAGCCAGGTGGGCTCGGCCCCCGGGAGGACCTGTCGCTGAGCCCCTCCTCACATCCTCGAGCCCTTACGTCCCTGTGTCCAATCGCACGTCCGTCCCGGCACGTCCGTCCCAGGTCCTTGTGCCCTTCGCTTTGGCTACCCTGTCATCCGTCTTGTGTCCCTGGCGTCCTGGCCCTCATCCACACGCAGTAGTCGGGGCTCCGAGGCGCCCAGGCAGGACAGCCTTGCTCCTCAGCCGCCTCACCTGCCGGGCAGGGCGCCGGACTCCCCAGAGTACACCTGTACTCTGTGGACTGGCAGCAGGGTGCAGGAGCCCCTGGCACCCTCCCTGAAGCTTCCACTCCCCGCCCCGCCCCCAGCACTTCGACATGTTTGTCAGCCACTACAGCAGTGTGAGCACCCCGCCGTGCGTGCACGTGTACAAGCTGGGCGGGCCCGACGATGACCCCCTGCACAAGCAGCCGCGCTTCTGGGCCAGCATGATGGAGGCGGCCAGTGAGTACCCCGGCCAGGCCGGCCACCGCACGCAGACCGCGCCTCGGGGGGTGGGCACCCTGGTCAGATGCAAACAAAACACGCTCGGCCCCTAAGCAGAGGGCTGGAGGTTGAAGCCCATCCCACAGCAGCTCAGAAGAAAGGCCCGGCAACCTCCCGCAAAGTTGCGCCTCTGAGCCCTCGGGACACACACGGGTCACAGCAGGAGGCGGGGGGGCCAGGGCCACCCCATCCCTGGCCTGCCACCACAGGGTGTGCCACTGCCCCCACCTAGCAAGGAGGATGAAGGGCAGCAGAGGGTGGAGACCTCCTCACCAGGGAACCCGCCAGGCTCCCTGCTGTCGCGCCCACTCCGACTTGTGGAGAGCCTGCAGGACAGGCTAACACTGTCCCTGTGGGTTTCTCCGACCTGATCTCGATGAGAGTCAGCGCCCCTGCTGGCTTCAAGCTGCTCACCCCACTCGTAACCACGACGCCAAGCCCAGACCAAACCCCTGCCCTCACGTAGATTCCGACTGAGAGGGGCCACTAGGGCAGCATAGCACTGCCCCTGTGGAGGCTCTGACTCTCCACGGAGGAGAGGACCCTGTCCAGCTCCTGCAGAGCAGCAGTAGCCGGTGGTTTTGAACTGCTGACCTTGCAGTTAGCAACCCCACGTGTAACCCCACGCCCCTCCCCCGGGGAAGCAGAGCTCCTTCAACACAGGTGGGATGGCACAGACAGTTCGGCGCTGAACAGTGATCCGCCAGTGGGCCCTCAGGACCCACCCCAAGGTGCCTCCGAAGAAGGGCCTGGCTAGCTACTTCCGAGCGCCCCACTCTGCAGACTCAGGGTGGGCCCAGTGGTACCAGCCCCACTCCTGGCCCCGGTCACCACGCCTGCCGGGACCCTGGGTTTGAAACCGGGAGAGATGGTGGCTTCCATGGCACCCACAGCTGTGCTCTGCTCCCACAGGCTGCCCCCCGGACTACGTGCCTCCCGAGATCTTCCAGTTCCGCACGCCCGCTGATGTGCCGCTCTACGGCATGGTCTACAAGCCTCACTCTGTGCAGCCTGGCAGGAAGCACCCCACTGTCTTATTCGTGTATGGGGGCCCCCAGGTGGGTGCGCGTCCACTCAGTCGCTGCTGAGCCCCGAGGCTCTGCTCCCAGCTTCCTGGGACCCTACTGTCCTCGGTCACATAGAACAGAGGCCCAGGCCCGGTTCCCCAAGGATTTGACAGTCGGGTTCTCACTGGGGGGGCTGGATCCGACCCCCATGGGGGCACGTGTGGGTCTCATAACTGGGGGAGGGGTGGTCCTGGCATTGAGTGGGGAGGCTGCTCAGCAGCCCACAGTGCACAGGATGACCCCAGCCCAAAAAGTTCTGCCCCGCCCCTGCACGTCAGGTCCCGGGGTTGTGGTGGGGTGGGG